CTTCGCTCATCATTAATCAATCAGTTGTAATTCTCTGGTTTCTGGCACTCCACTTAGAGGCTTTATGGATCGCCTTCATGTGAACCTGTGAAATGGGGTGGGGGGTTCGTCCATATTTACTTGGGTATATAAATGTCACGAATAACTCCAACCAGAGGCTAAAACTTGTTTCTGTCTGGCTAGACATAGCAGAAGAATTAGCACCAGAATAGATTATTTCTGCCTGAATTCTGAGAGGGAGGGACAGAGGACAGGAAAAGAAGAGAAGAAAGGAGGAGCATGCTTAAGTGATGCTTAAACAGGGACTGAGGCGCAGCCACTCAGAAGATGGCTGGCTTAACCACATCTCTAACGACTTTTGATGACTTAAGTCTTATGAAATTCTTAAAATAAAATTTGCTTTAATTGTAAGAATGATTTTTATGTGATCACACTTAAAAGCATGAGCTTTCGAAGTTGCTAAGTTTCTTTGGCCAAGGGTATTTGTTACTGGAAGTTTAGAATCATCAGCACGGAGTCTGGCTCCCGTACACTACAGTCTCTGGCTTTGCTGTATATGGAGAATCAGTTTGGAATATTAAGCACTCATTAGATGCCATACACGGTGACTCATTTCCCTTCAAACCCTGTGAGGTAGGTACACTTCCACCTTTGCTCCTCCAAGAAGAGGAGTCAGAATCTGGTTCGTTTAGGAAAACGCCTCCCCTAGCACAAAGTTTCCGCTATCCCATTTAAACTGGAGCTTCCCGCGTAAGGGTGGGAGGTAATAATTTCACCAACATTTTTTGTTTTACCCAGTGTTAAAAGACAAAAGGCTGTGCTGTGTGGTTTGATTTTATTAAAACTAACACAACCTGCTTAGTGCGATAGCTTCCGATCTGAAATCTTCCTTCCTCGAATTATCAATACCTCCTAAATGAACTAGATTCTGGCTCTAATGGAAGCAATTGGGTCACATCCAAACGGCAGAACAAATCCAAAATCTACTTGATATGTTGACCTAATGTGTGGACCACCCAATAACTAGCAGATTTAGAGATCTTCTGGATTCTTCATTTTAGAAAAGGAAACTGGAACTGGAGGGGGTATGCCTTACACAGGAGCCTTCAGGCAGGTGCAAGAGTATCTCCCTGGTGAGCTACCTTCTACTGTGACACCATGAACCTCTGTACATAATGGACCATGTCCTAGAGTGTCCACAATCTGTATTGTTAACAGATAAGTAACCATATCTCCACGGCGAAACTGGTTCTAGAAAGGTCACTCCTAGGCATGAATCACTTTGGAACTGGACAGTTGTCCCCAAAGAGTAGAGAATAAGATGAACCATCTGAGGTGAGATGACACTCCTGAATTATAGCAGGGAAGCCTGTGTCCCATCTGTGACATTGTAAGGATGGCCATTTCCAGGAGAGATGTTTAGGTAACTATGAATTTGAAGAGATCCAGGTTACGAAAAATTAAGTCCTGGAAGAAAACAGGGAATTATTCTTGTATGCTGACCCGATGTCTTGGCCAAGGTTATGTAAAGTGAACTGGAAACAGCTCCACAGAGGACAGTTATGGCCTAACTCTTCCTGGTTTATAGTCATCCAGACTGAGAGGACAGGCCTAAATGTTGTAGACTTTACGTTAGTGCACAATTAATTAGAGCTCAAGACGGGAGTTGAACCATGAGAGGTTGGCAGGGGTATGCATGTATAAAAGCAAATGCATGCCACCATGAACACGTCTGAATGTATGTGAATCGCATTGGAAATCTGATTCCCTTACCTCTATATTTAGTGCGCCAACTTCTCAGCATCGCATCCCTTCTGAGACCAAGGCAGCAGTGGGCTCTTGGATTTTTCTTTGTAGGCAAGCATTTGTCTCATTCAGCCACAGTCATGTTATAGGCTTGGGGCTCAGGGCAGGTTTATCACCCTCTCACATATGGTGTGCGGGATGTTGTTCCGTCACAAAGCAGCGAGGAAGCTACGGAGGGCGATTTGGACAGATCCCATCGCATGGCATTTGGAACCCTGAGCTATGGTTAGTTGTCACAGTCAAAGTTAATGGTTTGGATTTGCATGCATTTTTCAATGCTTTTACATAGCTCTTGGATTAGAAATAAAAATAGGCAAGAGGCCCAGTGAGTAACCCAGGTAAATAAAACCTACCAGACTCAAGGAGGTTCTAGACATGTTTTATTTATGTGACAAGTTGGTAATTTGGGCTCCTAATTGTCAGGGGCTCCAGAGGAAAGTATTTGAAATCAGAACCTGTTGTTACAAATTGAAATGTTCACACAGTAGTCGCATAAACAGGCTATTGGAAAATAGCAATAGTGGAAATTTTCACAGACCTGTCATGCTCTGCAAGCCAACAAACATGACCAGTTTGGGTGGCCAGGTCCCTTGGATCTTTGATTGTGTTCCCTGCCAAATGGAACATGTCCCCTGGAAGCACTTGCTAGGAGAGGAAGTCGGCTTGGTAACCTATCCCTGTCTCAGAAGGGAATGACAGCCCCTCACTTGGTTGGCCACCTGTCACGATCAGACAGTAAGGGCAGTCACTTCAGATCTGAGCAGGGCTCAGGGACTCCCCAGCAGCGACTCTCCCCTAAGTCGCTTTCTCCCACCATGGCCTCTTGATTCTTTATCTCTTTATTCCTCTGCACTGGCTGCCCTTGGAGAAGAAAAGGCACAAAACCTCTTCTCTTTTAGTCTACTTCAGCATGCACAGCTCCAATAACTTTTAATAAGAAAATGCAGAGACCATTAGGATGTGTCTGGCTTGCTTTATTCGCCCGTCTCCGAGGATCCTGATTGGGCTGCTGTTTGTGCGATGACAAACACAGAAGGCAGAGCAAATCCAAAAGCTCGATTAGCAGACAGTCTGTGCCTTCTCAGGCTGCTTCCCCTTGAAACAGAAAAGGCTCTTTGACAAAAACCAGCTTCAAAGTTTCTGGTTAGAAGGAACAGAGTGGCTTGTAACTAAGAGGAAAGAAACCTTTGATCTTCCTGGGATAGGCAATGTGGTGTGTAGTGGGAATGGACCCTGAAATCATGTTGGTCTAAAACTTTTTTTCCCTCCAGGACTCTTATCCAAGAGGCATAAGATAATGATTTCAAAGATTTCAAAATTACAGAAATGGAATAATTGCATGTGGCTGTAAGACCAGACTGTGAGATGGTTAAATGAGAATGTGCATATAACCTGTATGTTATATGCAGTATGTAGTGATCTTCTTCATCTCTTTAGTTTTAGAAGATATGCAAAATCTGGCACCCACCACAGACAGTGATCAAAAGTACCACGGGCCCTCAGGGCTGACCAACTCCCCTTCAGAAGGAATATGATAGCCGGGTGCAGTGGGTAACTGTCTTCCCTGTCACAAAGGAGCACATCTACAGGATGATAGGAACATGCACCCTTTTCATCTTGTTTCCATGGAAGTTTCTTCATAAGGGTGTTGATGACAGAATAGGATCAGAAAGAAGAAACTGATTCAGCTATTACATGGCTACTTGCCTGCCAGAGCGTGCCGGGCGCCCAGAAACTGCTGGTCCTACGACACTTGCCATCACTAAAGCCGCAAATGTTAATTCAGTGGGGCCATTATCAACATCTTTTATGAACATGCTGTGCACGACCATTTACAGGGTCAACAAAAACAGCTCTCTGTCTGTGAGAGAGTGTGTGCGTGTGAATGAGTGTATATGTAATAGAGAGTACGTGTGTGTTGAGGGGCTTTATGCCGTCTCATGGATGCAGAAGGTGAGGACAACTTTGGGGGGGGGGGGGTCAGTTGGTACATAGGTTCCCAGGATTGAACTAAAATCAATAGGCTTGCACAGCAAGCACGACTACCCACTGAGCCATCTCACCAGTATCAGGAACTAGGTAGCACACATGGAGTAGCTGATTAACCAGGGAGGCCATAGTTCAACCCATACCAACTTGTGAACTAATCTAGATTTCTCTCTCTTTATTGTCTCTACAAAGCAACAAAAAACTACCTATCCTGGCCAAGAAGTGTAAGCAGTATTTCCCATATTCTATCCCATTTTAAAAACAGCAAATCTAAAGTGATTATCAGTATCTGCATCCCACAGAGGAACAATAGGGACCCGGGGACACAGAGTACATTGTAAATGAGGATTGGAGACCTTTGTGTGCTAATGAAGCTATTGCTATGCCAAACTTGCTCTCGAGTGAGTGATGACTATTTTGTCTTCACAAAATGGCACAGTGAAGATCCTTGCCAACAGAGCTACCTACTAGTGTCTGCGGCATGGCAATGGGTGAGCTGGTGCAGTGAACAAGTGTGAGTCCTGAAGGCAGGAGGCAGAGGCCCCAAATCCACCATCTTGACATGATGCCTGCTGCAAGTCATCCTTGGGCCTCATTTCATCACTTGTTATCATTATCCCAATCAATACTGTCATACGGGTGAACCTACTTCCCTATTCTTGGGGTTCTAGGTAAATGTCAGCTATGATTACAGTCTAATTCTTTTCAGTGCTGTACTGACTTGCTCCCCGATCTTTGGAACTCTCTCCTGGCATGTTAGCTCGCTCATCTGTGAGCAATAGCTGCTGATACAGCATTCTAGTAATACCCTCCAGCAACCATTTTCAACGCGTAGTGACCTAGAAATCTTTTGGGATTCTGTGAAAATAGATTTCTGGACCCCAGGGATTATGACCAAGAACAGCTGGATGGAGTCTTGTAATGTCAGTCTTCTGAAGGCCCCCACTGGATTTTGATATAACTTGAGCTATGAATACTTCTGAAAAAAAAAACTACCATACAAGCCCAATAGACAAAGAACTAGGATATCTATAGACTCCTGATATCTACGCTCCATCCCTTGAGCAGAAGACTGACTCAAAAAGCCACAGAAGTCTCCTGTGGGCTTGAGTATAGACTACACAGTAAACTCTCCAGGCACCCACCCCATGGGCGTGCGTATAAGGTTAACTCAGTGCCATGGCCTCTTTTTCTTGTCTCTGCAGACACGTTTGCCAGCAAAGTAGCAGCCACCCAGGACCAGTACGCAGATGCATCCATAGGCAACGTCACCGGAAGCAACGCTGTGAACGTCTTCCTGGGAATCGGCGTGGCCTGGTCCATTGCTGCCATCTACCATGCGGCCAACGGGGAACAGTTCAGAGTGTCCCCTGGCACGCTAGCTTTCTCCGTCACTCTCTTCACCATTTTTGCATTCATCAACGTGGGGGTGCTGCTGTATCGGCGGAGGCCGGAAATAGGAGGTGAGCTAGGTGGGCCCCGGACTGCCAAGCTCCTCACATCTTGCTTGTTCGTGCTCCTGTGGCTCTTGTACATTTTCTTCTCCTCCCTGGAGGCCTACTGCCACATAAAAGGCTTCTAAAGGAACAATCAGATATAGTAAATTTATATATATACATATATATACATTAAAAAAATATGTATAATGAACAGAGGAGACTGACATTTGTTATGTTCACTTAACCTGCTGATGGAATCCAGCTTCAAGAACATACTCTGTACTAGGGCGGAAGTCAGAAACCACCATCTCCCATTCCCAGGGCATCATCGTGTTGAACAAGGCATGGAGGCAGGTGCACCTCGCATCTCAGCCTAGGAGGGCTGTACCCTCTCCAAGTTTGTAAATGGCTAAGGCTTTGGTTTGTTTTTCCTTTGTTTTGTTTCCAGTGGGGTCGGGGAGGTGGTGGTTGGCTTTTGGTTTGGTTTGATTTTGTTTTGTTTTGTTGGGAGAGCCAGGATCCTCCTTCTCTTTATGGGAAGCGTTGATCCACCCAAAGGTGTATGGATTTGGGATCAATCTGGAAATCATTACGATTCTCTCCTCACCTCCTCCAAACACTTTAAACGTTACTTTGGATTAAGGAAGGATCTGGGCATGGAAGAAGAAAGAAGCACGTCTCTATTACCAAAATGTTATGCTTATCTCCGAGATGTTAATAGAGGCGAATTGCCTCGAGGAAGAGAAGCATGGGAGCTGAACTGGAGCCAGGAGAAGCGATGGTTCTAGAAGTAGACTAAGGATATGGTGCCTGGCACTCTCGTTCAACTGGTACAGGGATAATGTGCCTAGATTCCCAGGAACACCCAGAACTCTTCATCCTTATCTCTTTAGCTCTGAACTGTGATTAGCAAGACCCTTATTCTGCCCAGCCCAGCTAATTCCCCAGGTATCCCATCCCAGACCCCCCTCCTGCCCACCACCCAATCCCCTGCAAGTAGGAAAATTAACCCCATCCCCCCCAAAAAAATAGATAATCCTTTTGGTCATCACGTGTGTCCAGGTCCCACGTTGCTGTTGCCTGGGACTTTTCCAATCAGTTTTATTTTCAGTGGCATCCATGGCTTGCACAATCCTGTTCCAGTCATGACTGAACATTTGCCCTCCTTCATGTGCCTGTTTGGGAATGTTGTTGTGATCCCCTTTACACAGTGCATGGACGACAAACAAAGAAAACAAAGCGTATCTGTATATAGTAGAGTATAGCAAATACTGTTCTCCCATTCAGCGATGTTGATTGGACATTGAAGACGCGAGTTTTCCTTTTACCTGAGCTGTTACTTTTGAGTTGTTACTGAGTTTGAATATTAGTAGGTATAAAAGAAGAAAATGGCTAAGTGTTCATGATTCTGCACATTCATTTCTAAGAAGCAATAACTGTCATGTGAGGAGAGATTAAAGTTATTGAGAGGACAGAGGAGCTACAGAGATCTCCATGGAATTTTAGCCAATGTAGGGCATAGCAGAGGCCTCCGAGAATCACCCATGATTAATTCAGGCAGGCCAAAGAGAAAGGCTGGGGAGAAAAGTGGACACTTTGGGTGTGCCTGTACATTTAGAGCCACCGTTTCCACACTACCCCTCCCCCCAGGTATTTATTGCGCATCTGCTCTGTCTGGCACAGATGGTAGATAGTGCTAGCTTGTTTTAATTTTTTTTTTTTCTGTAGAAGGCTGTTTTGAGCCCGGTTTCATTCACCTTCCAGTCCAGACTCCCTGAATTCATTAGCAACTCCTGAGTGGAAAAGAAACCAGAGTGACCAGTGGGCCTTTAGAAGTCCACTGCATATGACACGAAGAGGAGATAACACAAAGGGACTGGAACATTCCAGGAAGACAACACTGGGGAGGTTTTTTTTTTTTAACCCTTTGAAAGAAATAGCTCTTTCTATTCAAAAGTACCAAAGAGCAAAGATAAACCCGACATTCCAAAAGCAGTGCTTCTTCGCCCGCCTCTCAGACAGGTCTCTGAGACCTCCATAACCCTTTGCATTATTGATTCAAAGATACTTAAGAAATAAATGTTTCTGAGACCTCCTTTCTCTTCTTCCACTGTGATCATAGCTGTCCATTATTTAATACACATTTAGTCACTGAGTTCGTAGTTAGATAATTGTTACCCATTCAGTAGGTAATATACTACTTCCTGGTAGCTGACCAGTGACCAAGGTAGCCCAGATTCCTGCCCCCAGGAGGTATGAGTGAATGGGATCCCTATTCAAATAGTATGAGTTGACCTAACCATACTGAGACAGTTTTATCTTGCAAGAGAAAGATAATTATGACTTCTTTTTAACCCAATCACATTAAGAAAAAAAAAATTGCACAACAAAAGCAGTTGACCAAATACTCACTTTTTTTTTTTTCTTAGAAAAATGTAATGTTTCACTCTGGAACAGTACTCTTTCACCTTGGCCGACTTGCAGGTTCGTTCATCTTCCTACTTTAGACCAAGCAGGGTAGTCATGGTGGTGACCGGAATCACTGAGAAGACCCGGTTAACCAGTTTTTATCTATGTGGCACTGCTTCCTTTCCATCACAATATACTGCAGCCCGCCAATATTGGTGACACTGGTGGCCCACAGAGGTACATTCTAACCCACCTTGTTTTTGTTTTTTTGTTTTTTTTAACTTTATTTTAGATTTTAAACGTGGAAAGCTAGCCTAGAACTACTAAGTAAATGCAGTCCAAGGATATACATGGTTAAAAATATTAGAAAGGTTTTGCACTGTTTTTGATTTGTTTTTGTTTCTGTTTGGTTACGTTCCATCTTTGGAATGTCAATAATCCTGCAGCGAATTTTCACCCTGCAGCGAATTTTCACCGAGACCTTCCCAAGAAATTCTTGCTGTTGGTCAGTTTCAAGTTCAAGCATTTTGGTTTGTTTGCCTTTTCAGTCTTCATGCTGTAGGGAAAATATGATGTTCAGGGTTGTTAATTATTATGTGTAAAATGATTTCATTTTATTTGTTTGATTATTATTTTATTTTGTGTGTATTGTGCACGACTTTAGGGGAACAGGCACTAACAGTGTTGTTCCTTGGAATTGGTACACATTGTCGACACGAAAAAGAAATAAAGTTTCTAATTGTTTGTGATTTCATCACTAGTGGCACAGCATATTCTGTACAGGGGAATACCTCTCTTTACCATGGGCTCCAGTCTTCGTTCTGTACTGGGGAATTCCTCTCTTTACCATGGGCTCCAGTCTTCGTTCTGTACTGGGGAATGCCTCTTCTCATTGTCCGTTGTTTGTTTTCATGTTTTGAAGAAATAAAGACCAACAAGGTATCATTGTGCAATTGGTATCCTCATCCACAGGAAAGGAGACAGCCAGAATTCAAGGTCATGCAAATGTCAGCTCTTTGGACCTACAGTGTTCTCGTTTAAATGTCCCAAGAGCAGCACATGGAGTCAGAGTGTCTGTCTGTCCTGTGACACTGTGATCAACATTAAGTGTGCCTTGCTGTCACCATTTTTTCACCTTTTAGTTTAGCTCGATCTTCTTGCTTTCTGCATCCAAGGTCATGGACTCATAAACTATTATTGCCGGGCAACTTTTAGCACACAGTGCATTAGACTAAATCATGCAGACCATCACAATGGATATTGGAAGTACAGTTACTTCCCAAGGGACAAGCAAATCGTTCATTTAGTATCATGCATTGTATTTCTTCTTGCTCCTAGTACGGCTTATGTTTTATGTTATTAACTTCTGGTTTTATGCATTATATGTTCCTGACTTTCCTTTCCCAAACAATCGATAGAGCCTAGAAGAGGTGACCCGGCATAGAATGAGAATTGCAGGAAAAGAACTAGTACCCTCTTACTGTGGTAGAATCTGGACATTAGCTGCATGTAAATGACTCTGTTCATCTGAGCATCTTATTTCCCACAAATTCTTTCATTACAGCGTCCTGTGGGCCTGTGTGGCACATTTTCAAGGGAGGGAGGAAATAAGGTACAATTTAAACACTCTTCTTGAATCAAAGAATTGATTACGCCTTCTGAATATTGATCTTTAATTTTATACAACATTGGCAGCCAGTGTTTACTTCTTGAATAAAGAGCAAAAATGAGTAATATAGTGAGGATTCTTGACCATTTAATAGACTTCCACAAAATTCTCTGGCTGATTGACTCTCAAGTGCGTAGGAGCAAGCACTCATTAGTTCACAGGTTCTGATTCAGTGCTTCCAACCATGACCATTTCAGAGAATCTTGCTCTCTAAAGCATAAGTGCACCAAGTTTTTGTTGCTCTTGCTTTTCAAATATAAGATTATAATACAAATAAGCTGTCTGAAACAAGCCTGCAAGATGGACAGGTAGCTCACATCTAATAAGCAGCCCCTCCCCAAGAGGTGATCTCCAAACAAGTAGAAATGCATTGTGTCCATTGCCCTTTCCACACCAGGCTTCGCCATTAGAAACGCTGTGTGCCCACATTCCTGGCCTTGACCTATCAAAATCAAGTGAGAGGGGCTAGTTTGCTCTCATACCCGACAGCTTTGTAGAAGGAATTAGAAATCCCCTCTTTTTTTAAATCAATTAATTCAGTTTCATTAAGACTTACTTAGTTTTTGTTTTGTTTTGTTTTTTTTTTTTTTGGTTTTGTTTTGGTTTGGTTTTTCTGAGTTAAAAATGTGGAATCTGCCTCTTGGTTTTAATTTTCCTTTTCTGATCTTGGGAAACTGTACCCAGAGCAAGTAGCGGTTGCACCATCATGAGTTTAGGAACATGTGGCCATTTCACCACTGACATTGTGCATCCTAACTTACAGCTATAATCTGGCATTCTTTATAATAACCATGCCTCTTGGCAAAAACTTGGAAGTATGATGGTCAGTTGGTAAATAAGTGGTGTGTCACACAAAAGAGACATGAAAAAAAAACACATTGGTAAGTATCCAACTTGCTGTGACCTTGCCTCGGCCTGCCAAGATGTCCAAAGGGATGCCCTTAGAGAATCTCCAAGTTTTCAGTTTTGTCAAACATTCTCTGATTTCTTTGTCTCAAGGGACGTTTACGGATCATTACTTATTCTTGATGCACTTACTTTTTGTAAAGAGCATCACTTCATACTGTAGGCTTTCCTTTCCATACTGCCCAACTTTGCCATTCTTCCATCAACCACTCTTAGTACGTTCAGTAAACTTCATGATGCCTGCTGTTACCTCTCAGCAGCAGGGGAAAGCTCATGCTCGAGAGTTTTTCTTCTGGGAGCAAACTTGTCCTAGAAAAATCAAAGATGACTAGTTTTCACAAAGACAACAGATTTTAGAGCAAAGTGTATTATCTCTACAAATATTTGGGTTCTGCGGTACCCTAGAGTTACATACTAGCTCATTAATATCTCTTGGGTTGTATTTATCATGCCCCATGTCCATCTCCCAGCCTATTCATTCAGTATCTGTAAGAGTGGGAAAGAACAGCAAGACATATGTCCCCAAGCCCTGTGCAGAGTTTCTCTAAAACTGTCATATGTAAACACATAAAAATACATATGACTCTAAGAAATATGAGTGGCCCAAGTGCTTCACTGGTTAGTGTGTTTCAGGAATGCAATGGGTAAGAAAATTCACATTAAAAACCAAATAGACCAAGAAAGAAATTACCAAACTTCAGGGTTACTGGATCTGTTTTAGGAGTTAACTCACAAAGTCCAACCCTAATAATTTGTTTGTTGCAAAGACAGGTATACTCTGCCAAATCTAAAAAAATGTACTTGAGGAAGGGAAAGTTACCTACTAGGATGACTGACTATACAGCCTTCTACCAGTACCCCGCTAGTGATCTTATAATCTATAGAACTATTTCTTAGACTCCCTTGCAAATATGGAACAAAGATCAGTTATACAAGAAGGCAATATTTATATGGTTGCTGATTTGCAATGTTCCACCTCTATTGTGAAGATCATAATCCTGAAGATTTTTCCAAATAAAATAACTACCCCTATGTATTAAATCTATTAAATTCAACCAAGTCTGTAACTGCTTCACAAAATATTTCACTGAAGAAATAAAATAGATAGCATATCCATGATAAGAATCATATGATCACAATGGCTGCTTTTGTGAAAAAAATGAGATTCTTTGTGAATCTTTCCCTACATTGCTAAATTCATTTTAGCAAACATTAGACTTGAAGAATATCCCAGTGAAAAATCTTGGGAACTTTTTATCCTGCATTGCCATAATGCTCATAGAACCAAGTTGTAAAGGTAAAATAATGATATGGGTGAGAATTAACTATACCTTTGACAAGATTATATTTTTTAAATGAAACAGTTTGGCATAAAGAAAATGTGTTAAGTAGGATTTCATCACATATTACCCTTATTTAAGATATTTGAAACTCATTACCTTTAAGTAAGAATGATTTCCATTTCCCTGAGACAACTGTATAATTTAAACTCATTCTCATGTTTGATATGAAAGTCAAAGCTGGGCATATATAGCTTTTGGCTTGGACAACTAAAGAAAAGTATGCTTTTGGCATACTTTCCATGTCATTGAATTATTTTGTGGAATACATTAGAGCTGTGCAGATATCTCATAAAAATATTTTCAATAATTCCCTTACATTTTAAAATGTATAATGTTTTTAAATTACTCATCTTGGTAACTTAATACTTCTCCCTTTTAAAAGATGACTCCATTTTGATATTGTTACTAAGGTTTCAAGACTAATTATAATGTTGAATCAATACATAGGGTGGGCTATTGGACTTGAGTCAGCCCCAATAACATGTGGTCCAGACAGATCTACCAGTAGTTAAATGTTTCAGAAGAACCAGCATTTTAGGGTACAACAAAGGTGAATGTTGCATTTGGTCTTTTTTCTACCAAAGGTGTGCATTTTAACCAGTGCAAAAACAAGTTTAGAAGGTTTAAATTACTAATTGCAAGATTCTTTTTCTTGAAACTGGACATTGTTCAATCAGTGACTCCCTTCTTTCCTTTTTCTCCCACACCATAGAGATATGTACATTAAAAACAAAGATAAATTTCACATGTTGAATAGCCTGAACTGCATCCTACATATCTATCTATGGTTGCCCAGAAATTCATGTCAAGTTAGTTCCTTTCACATCATATCTCTTTCATAAGTGGAACAAAGCACAAAAGGGAGTGTTATTCTAAAGGTAAAGGTGTACATTTCAAGTTGTTTGAGAGATGTTTAGAATAACAAGTATCCTTCCCCAAAAAAGGTGCAAAAATATTTTTTTAAAAAAATAAATTCATTTTTATTCCTTTTATTTAGCAAGTATTTCAGCTAGGAAGCCTTTAGGACTTATTTGGTTCTTTCTGCCTTTGAGAATGAGTCTCAAAAACAGTTCTTGTAAAAAAAAAAAAATCTGACCAAGATCAAATTCTGGAAGTTAAAATAGGATGGGATTTTGTATTTTTGCTTAAGAGATGGTATCAAGCAGGCAGGCAACCGTGTCAGTTAATATTTTCTAGAAATGTGTCCTACAGTTGGGAGACACAGAGAAGGGTCTCATCCAGTCTGTCCACTGATACTTTATCCCCAGCTTGGTTGCATGTTGGGAGATACAGAGGAGGGTCTCATCCATCCTGTCCACTGATATACTATATCCCCAGCCTGTTGGATCTTTCACTGGCTCAGGTTAAGGTTAGACATTTACAACAGAGCCAACGTTCCAACTTTCACGTCTGTTGGTTGTCTTGTCTCTGTCATTTCCCCTCCAAAATCTTACTAGCCCGGCCAACCAGTTGCGCATGAGGCTTCTCCAGGGAGCCCTCTCAGGGCAAGGCATGAGATTGAACAGGTGCAAAGCCTTTGGAATTCATTTACAATTGTTATCATTAAGTCATCAAAACTTTTTTGTCTTTTCAAGTTTCTGTTCAAAACTCCAAGAACAGAGTTCCTGCTCTCATGGGTATCTTATAGGAACTTTGACACACCGACTCTAGTGGTCATGTCATTGTTAAAAGAAAAGAAAGATCGCTTTATGACTACTTCGGATTCATTTCACACTGCTTCAGAACTTCCACTAATCAACATCAGCTTCATGGCCAGCAGAATTCTGTCTTTACCTCAAATTTAGAATTGTTTTATTTTAAAAATTCAGAATTATTTTGGGTGTCTTTAAAGGAGTTTAAAATATTTAATGATTTGTTGAAATCAAGACAAAAGAAAGGAATGTTTTGCACAGGCTATTGGGCTATACAGGAGGACCGGTTTTTGTTGGGCTGTCTTGATGTCTTGCCCGTCTTTGTAAGTTTACATTTATACTATCCCCAATGAAATGTTCTCTATAAGAGGACACAGAGCATTGGTCTTCACTTCCTGTCTTTTTAAATCCTGCCAGGGGAAAAAAAAAAAAAAACAGCTGTTTCAGAACGTATAATGTAGGGGCAGGAGAATGCCAAGTACCATCCTGGTTGAACCAGAAGCTTTGAACAAAAGCGCATGTCATTTTACCTGTCTCTGAGTTAATGCTGTGCTCATGAACCAGCTATGGTAAGGATGGGTGGAGCTAGATAAACAGCAAATGGATGACTAAAGACTGACAAGGGATCAGACACAAGTTAAGCCAGAGAGGCAGAAAATTAGCCAGTTTAACAAAGCCCCATCCACAATCATTCACAGACATTACATTCAGTTCAAACTTGAAAAAATAATAATAATTCAGTCTGGCCAGTGGAGCAGTTTCAAAATCAGAGTTTATGTTTCTGACACAATCTCATAAATTTCCAGCCCTTATTCTGATAAAATGTTAAGAATCATAAGGTAACATGAGACATTAAAGGAAGGATGATTTAAGACAATTAACACTGGCCCTGAATTTAATCAGATCCCAATTACAGTCCTCTAATTAAATTAATCTTTCATTTTGGTCTAAGGATGCTTTATGAATGTGAGAATATTTAATAGGGTCATTCTGAAAGTGATCAAAGAACTTCCCTTTAAAAAGTAGAAATAATGATTTTCTTAATTTCACATTCTGTCTTTCACCATCAAGATGAAGGGATTCAAACTTAAATAGCACATTCCAGAGTCTTCTATGAGCCAATCACCATGTGAGACTGCTCTGTTAGCATTTCAAGTTCTGGACAGGTTGGTCATTATTGAAGTTCTTTCTACTAACCACAAACACTGAATGTTCTTGACTTGGAGAGTCTGGCTCCTCTCTGAGCTAAAACTCCATTCCTAGTCAACTGAGCCTCTAAAGAAGAGGGCCTTAGCTTCTCCCCTGAGCATACAGTGCTCTCTTCCTTTGACTGCCCAGTCATCATCAGACAGGAGACTTGAAGGTTTTCTCTTTTGGAAGGGCAGATAGATCACTTGTTTCAGAAAGTTATGAGTCTTCAGATCTCTCTGGGTTTGAATCTTCACATTGCTACATGAGAGATGAGATGATACTTTCATGTTGTTTTTTAGAACTCATCAAGCCCCACCCATGTGGTCAGTAGCTTCCTGTTCCCTCCTCTTGTAAATACAGGCTAAAGATGCTTTATGATGCCAATCAGTTCTCCTTGTATTCGATTATCAAAACAAGTGCCAAGTCAATTGAGCCCCATGCATCTGGGGGGAATGTAACAATTGATTTTACAATAATTATTTGTACACTGCTGGGGTATAGGACTGGCTTTTTTTTTCCCTGAGAGGAGGGAGTGGGAAGTTTCCTCCATTTGAAGAAGCATCTGAAAGATTAGAGTGGACTTAACTCCGTGTCCTTCTTATGGACAAATCCATCCTTCTTCTAAGGATGACCTTTAATTCTCAGAGTGTCTCATAACAATTCCACTTTTGTTTTGCATTCCTTAGGCTTCCCAACAGATAGGAGAAAGAGATTGTCAACACTGTTTTATACTAAACTATATGAAATTATAAACAAGCTGTCCAGAGGCCAGCAGCACCCTTTCCAAGGTTATTAAGGGTACAAGCATTCTACAGCAAAATGAAAAAAGGGTATCATTTGCTACAGATGCAATTGTCTTTTCAATACCCTCTTTGTTATGGAGAAACGACTAATCCAAAAGATTTCATAAAAAAAGACTTCTTAAACCATAACCGTAGCAATTACCTGGACTGCCACAGCCAAAATACTTCATTGGTGATCTGAAATTGCACATAAAACACAGAAGAAGAATGTAGACATTTTCACAAGAGAAAGACAGGAAAAAAAATAACAGACCTCTGCTTATGTAAAAGAGAATATTTTTGTGGAATGAATGTAAGCTTTCTCTTGAAGGAATGTCTTAAGAAATGACAAAACTATTTCAACATTAGTGGAAGGAACGCATTCCAACTTTATTAGTCCTGAACCACAAAGCCAAATTTGTAAGGGGGGAAGAGTAACCAAACATTACTGACATATGGCAACAGATGAAGTGGCTTTGTGAGCCTCAACATAGAGAGAAGAAATTTAAATGGGTAATATTTTTGTTACTACCGCAATAATTTCTGTAGCTGCTGCTTGGGGATAAAAATACCCTTCCTCTTCTCATTTACGTTTCCACCCAGAGCTGCTGTTCAGTTGCAGCAAATGCATCACATTTTAAATTGCAATGATTCCCTTATGTCAAATTTGACCTCAATTTCAGATTTGATTAGGAAATAGTAAACTGGAAAAAGGGGGAGGTTCATCTTTTTAAAAATAAAGATGCTCTATAGGCATTTTCTGCTGCTGCCTGCCTTAAGCAACCCTAGCTGTACTGTCAATCAAAGGCAGCTCTTTGCTTAAGGAAGAGAACCCCCTTTTCCCAATGAACTTAGACTTCCTTCCATTCACACAAATTCTTGTCAATCTTCTTCAACTCCCTGCCAGAGCCCCGCCTCCTAAGCTGACCCAGGTCTTCCAGCCAAACAAATTGCAGTCTCTAATTATGCCTGCTGACAGTTTGTCCACCTTAACTCTTTCTCACCTGAAAGCCCCAGAAGGTCCCTTGAAACCTTCCCTGTTCATTCATTTTCAGGAGTTCTTGGGATTAACAAATTTCCACAAAGGTTTTACTAAGAAAATATCAACAACTCATTTGTTTGTGCTCAGCCAAGAAACTGTGAACAAATTTAGTGGCTGTGTTAATTACTCTGGACTGATAAGGTGACTGTCGCCTAAGCGGCAGAAGAGAACTCTTATGTTATTACTAAAATAATATTATATGAAGAAAGAGGGTAGAATTTTCTAGAAATGGACTTTTAAGGTGTTACACTTAATAACATAGAAAATTACACAGGAAGGCCAGCGCATAGAATTATATTTTATGAACATGTTTATTGTATATACTGATGTATGCCTAACTTTCTAAACCTAAAACTCTTCTCTAATTAAACCAACACCCGTGGAATCTAGCCCTTACTACTTGATGGGTTTCAGGAGAGAAAATTCAACATTAATCTTCCCCTCCCCACATGGCAAAGCTTTGCTGTGAGAATCCGATTCGGATGACATGGCTAACTATATTTAGTGTTTTAGAATAAGCAACTACAGCGATTCTTCAAAGTTTGATCTGCAACCAACCAGCATCAGCAATGACAAGGAAACCTGGGAAATATGCAAATCAGCTGCTCCCACTAGAGACCCCATCCCTTGGTAAATGAGATATGCCAGGACTAGGCTCCATGCTGCAGGTTTTAACAAGCTCTTTGGATTGTTTTAATGCATGCTGGAGTTCAAAACCATTGATCCACACAGTGTTCTGTATGGCCAAGGATGATCAATGTCACCCCCTGTTTAACTCTGCTCCCCCAGAAAGAAGCTTAAGGGCTTAAATGGCAGCCTGCCTCTCAGTACAACAGACTCAGACGTGTGGTTTAAAAGTCCATAACTCAGACTTAGAATTCAATTTGAAGGAGAACTAACCTCACAATTGCTTTTTTTCCCCCCTTGTAATGGGACTTCAGGAAGCCTCTCTTCCCTGAGTCTTTCTTTTAAAATACAGCCGTGCATATTCTTTACCTGAGCAGCCATGGACAGCCTAGGAAACCTTTCTCCTGGTTGCTTCACTAGCGCTGGTTTTATCCTTAATTTTGAACTATTCTGTGGCAGTCCTATGTCCTGCTGAATCAATGTCTTCTGGTCTGAGGAGTGGGAAGCTGCTTCAAAACAAGCCACAGGGCGCAAAAAGCTGGGAAACAACAGACTGCATAGACATCATCACTCTAGGTAGCCTGGGGTCAACTTTCAAGACTCTCTTCCTGGCCTTGGAGTGCTGAATACTCAGGTCACTTAGCAGATAAGAATGTCTTAGAAAGATAAACTGAGATAGTGAGTTACACGTGTAAGTGTGGGCATGTGTCCATCTGTCCTCTAAAATCTAACCCGACACTCTTAAATATTTAAAATACCCACCACGTGTTTGTCCCTGCTTTTCAAGCAATTCAAGAAGCTGTGTGTGTCTACTGATGCTGGCCAAAGCTTGAGTGTAGGTTGTCCCTTTGCTACGGGGAGTGGGGTGGGGAGTGATGAGTACTTTGGCATTGATGACTTCCCTCTTGTCCTCTTCCTCTCAAATGCACCTGACTTCTTGTATCCCCAGTTCAAACACAGCCCATTTGGTCTCAGTCATCTTCCCCTGCATCTCCACTTAAACACTCTTTTACTCACGATCAAAGTCTTGCTCACAAGTCACCTCGCCACTAAGACCATTGCAGAGTTGGAATATAATATTTGCAGCAGAAGGCCTAAGCTCGATTCTGTGCAATTAACTCAAATTTGTCACTAAGATCCAAAGCCTTGCTATCCTCTCTGACTGTTGAAAGCCATCTTGGAAACCTCTATGGTGGAAGCTTCCCAGGTGAAATTGCCAAGCATCTCTCCTTGCTCCACGATCCATTGCACTGTTTATTTCGCTCCAATCCCAAAGCCTTGAAATAATCATGGATTTGAATTGCAAAAGAGCAGGAAAACAGTTAGATAATGAAAGACCCTTATTTCGGAGAACACGGAAAAGGCTCGGGCATGAGAAGGTAGCAGATGATTGTTTTAAAACCATAAGCAGATTTGCCTGTCAGTACTATTCCCGGTGATAGTCACAGGTTAATGGTACAAGACAAGTCTCTTTCCCAAAAGCCATAATAACCACCGTTGACACAACTGTGATTGTAACCGGACTTCCCGGGGCTCTTCTGGGAGTTTTGTAGAGCACAATGCTCACAGCAAAGAGACACTCATGGCTCTCTAAACAAGGACCAGAAAAGGAAATGGCTGTTGTATATATGCACAAAACGCTGCTCAGCCACTGGCAGCATTCCATGGGGCAGGCAAGAGAGAGATTTCCAGTTGGAAACTAATCCACAATTGTCTCATGCCTCCAGTGGCATTTCTTCCCCCAGGGAATAAAGCTGGTGAATGATTTAAGGGTAAACTGAGCTCATCCTGAGCAATTATAACAGGCAATCCCTATAGAACAGGCTGGCGTGTCTTCACGCATGAATTCTTCTCTGGAGAAGACATGAGCACCGCAACCAACACCCCCCGCACACACACACATACACACACATGCTGAAGAGTAGAGAACAGTCTGTCCAGATGATGTACTCACAGTGTAAGGGATCCAAATAACCTTCAAAGACAAAGAGCAGGAGGTGGAAAGCCAAACAGACAAAATTAGAGGCAATCTTAGCACGGGCGAGTGTAAGCAATCCTCACATTCCTCCAGCTCAACCTGGAGATGGCCCTTGCTCAAGACTGTGTTTTAAATAGCTCAGTCCCACTGGGAATCCACTGCATGGTGGTTTGGCAGTGATAATAGCGATGGAAACTTAACTGCATCTTTCAATTTTGAGCTTCTCAGGCCAACGAATCAAATGTATAAAGATTGCCATTTTCAGCACACAACACATACACAAAGGTGTGCACACCCTAGTTAGTAATTCTGTGGGGGAAGCAAAATGTTTAGCAATCAGAAACTTTTTAGTGTATTCTGTCAATGCTTCAGAGATAAAATGTGGGGGGGGGGGGAAGAAAAGTCAACATGCGCATGATTGCTAACTGTATTACAATTATGATCGTCAGACGTACTGTTGAAAACGCTATGTAAAATACCTTCTCCAGCATCAATGGATCAATACTATTTGAAAATAGCTGTCAGTTTGTGCTCATTAAATATTCTTATGTCTGCGGTGTTCTACTATTATCCTGAAATAGTGACCACACACAAGGAAAAAAAAAATGGCCTCGTTGAAATGTTAGAAGTGAAGGAAATTATTTATAGTCTTCTGCCAAAGAAAATTGTTTAATGCTCTATAAAATGTAGATTAACTTCTTGTATTATGAATGTGACTGTAAGAATGCTCACTCCATCACCTATCTTTTGAAAATGAATTCTTTTTGTGTTTCCAATGACCAACGGAAATATTTTAAGCCGATGTAATACACATAATTCTTAGAAAAAAAAAGCTATATTTGAATCTGAAAATTTGGTGGCGTATTTATCAGTCTTTTCCTCAAATTCTTGCATCACACTAGGCTGCATTTGGAGACCTTAAACACGCCAACATTAATGACGATTCTTGTCTTATAGAGAAATCATTAAATCATTTCTCTTCAAAGAACGTTGAGTGGACAGAAATTACTGTCTAATTTTCTTAGCCAACCACTCCATACTCGTTGTCTCAGAGGTCTACCAATTTTGCACAGAAAGTTAAGAGACTGTGTAAGCCAATTTAATCTGTGCAGTTAGCGAGAACTAGCCATTAAACTATATATTTAAGTGTTTTGTAAATAAAATTTTGATTACTACAGTTTTGTTCAGACTTATGTCTTTTAAAATAATTAGACTTGATTTGAATTTTTTAAATAATCTGTTATATTAGATGTTGCGTTATTGACTGTGATTCAATGTACACTCAGCCATATTCCTGTGGGAAATATCAGTCCTATTGACTTTCTTGGCATGAGCCAGAAGCTCTTAGTTTCTCTAAGGACTTTAATTATAAAGACAAAAAAAAAAAATCAAAATAAAATGCTAGTGAAGAAATAAGAAGCCTATTGTATAAAATGTATTTTTAAAAATCTTAGGATTCATGTGATTTACACTGCCTGTTAATCTAGTCTCTGTGGAATGACCACATCATATGCGTTAAGACAGAAACACCAAATATTTGTGATCTTTGTATAGCACCTTGTTATAATACGTGATTTCAAATGGTAAACATCTCTGTTGTGATCACGTGAGCCCACAGAAGAATTAGTTCCTGCTGTCATGTAAAATCCAGCTCTCAGAGTTGAATTTCCTACAGCTGCTCTATCACCAATAAACAAGAATTAATTGTGAAAAGATATATTTTATGTTTATGATCACTGTGCATTTTGTTAACGAATTCAGAAAATTTTGTTTTTACCAGAAATTCTCTCAGCCAGTAAATACAACTGCTGATTTCAACCATACTATTATTTCTGTGGTTTCTATATTCTTGATCTAACTACCAAAAAATTGGAAGTTCGGTGCAAAGTATGTCCTAACAAAGATACAATAAGTGACTTTTCCTGCATGCTGCTTGAGATACATTGTAATTTGAAATGTCGTATCAAAAAAAGTATCTATTTCACACCCAAACTGTAACTGGCAATATTTCTTATGTGTGTAACTGATGGTATGTCAATATCAAAAGCAATGCCTATCATACATGTATGTTCTATGTGCTGTTTAATCGTGTTAAGCTGTCATTGCCTGAACTAGTTTATTGTGTGTAAATCATTGTCCTCACTGTTTCCCTAATCTCACCATGTTTCCTAACTCTGAAATATAAATGTTTGTAAATTAGTCATTCATATTCTGTCAACTGGATGTACTTTTTGGGTGGCTCCGTTAACTAATATAAACAAAGAAAAATCAAAATATTCATTGTTCCGGGTCCAGGGACATTTTAGCTAATGGCCAACATTTATTTATTCATTCGTTCAACAAATGTCTACTATATGTAGGCAGGTGATAAGTACCCTCAAAAAATTGAAGCCCTAGGGTTCAAGAGATGACCCAGTTGTTAAGAGTGTTATCTGCACCTACAGAGGATCCAGCTTCATTGGTCTCTGTGGTCACACTGCACACACACACACACACACACACACACACACACACACATGCACACGCACGTACACACACAAACTGATAAAAATAAATATTCAAAAACAAATCAAACACTAACTAAAATTCAAATAGACAATTAGAAGAAAATGCGGGAGAGGTTAAAAACGACCGAGACTTGCATTTCTCCCCATGGCTCATTAATTAATCCACTCATCTTTAATATTTACTAAACACAGAAGGTGAGATTAGAGCTAGTCATACAGGCACACTTAAGCCAAGACAGAACAGTACTTACGGATGCCACTTTGCAGCACCATCCGCCCACCTGGGTAAAGCGATGCTCTGAACCCAGAAGTCTGTGTGTAAAGCTCCCAGGATCCCTGGTGCTGACCGTAGTACTTGCTCTTTCCTGTCGTGGGAAACATAAGGTTTTGTGAAGGGCCACACACAGTGACACTCAGCAAGATATAGCTGCTGTTTGCATCCTCCGCAGTGTTAATGGCATCTCTTGTTCTAATAACCAAACAAGGCTAAGCCACTCTTAGCCCATTTTTTTTTTTTATTCACGGGGTCAGTTAAGTTAAAATTTCCTCCCTTGATGTCTGGTCACATTCCTCATCCCAACTTACCCTACCTTACTTTCTGTACTAATACTGTTGACCTGATTCAGCAGAAATCGCCTTAGACCTGAAGTCCTTCTAGGTGATTTTTTTCCTCTGACCATCACCATATACCTTGGCTTTGAATATCACTTTTCCTTTATTCAAAGTTGAACTCAATATCTTTATCCTGCTGCAAAGTAAGACGGCAATAGTCCTGTTCGTGAGTGTGTAAGTCTTTCTCGCTGCCTTGCCAGGAGTCTGAATAAATGTTTTCTTTAATGCTAACAATAGTCATCATTTTGAAAGATGAAGGAACCAAGAGGCTAAATTAACTGTCTTCACTTCATCGGTTGTAACCAAAATTCCCCAGTGCTTGTTACCAACCAGATAGTATACTTATTTACATTTTATTTATTTACATTATATCCCTGGCCCTTTGGAGTCCTTTACACATGTGAGAACTTGAGCTTAAAGAATGCAAGTATTTGCCCCAAATGCCAAACTCCCTTTGTCACTAATTGGCAAATCAAAATTCAGATTCAAACTTATTTGACTCTAAAGCTCAACCTTGGCAATCATTGTGTTATTTTGCCTTTTGAAATCAAAAACTGAAAGTTTTTATTTGCTTAGAGTAAGCTCCCAAACTGACATAAAATCACAAAAAAATAATACAACAGCAAAACTATCGTAGGTATGTAGATAGATAGACATTTGGATAGAATAGATCAGATTAGATATATTCTTAAGCTATATTTGTATCAGGCCAAAGAAACTCCATACAGATTTGATACATATCTCCATAGTAACAATCATAAGGCATAATTATTATCCCACTTTTTATGGTTTTTGAAGACTTATATCACCCACATGAAAGGAACAAACACTGAATAAGTTCTGTATGCATCACCGAAGTCTCCGTGGAAACAGCTCACCAAGGTCACCTTCAATAGTTTCACACAACCACAGAGAATAGATATATTTATTCTTGTTTCTTCGGCCAGACTTATCTGCAGGCATCTGATTTGAGAATAAAATTTATATATTTATGTATAATTATATCTAATTCCTCTCCTAAATTAAGCAATGGCTATTTTATTTTCACAAATCAGGTTATGAGATCATCCTTGCAGTACCAACTAAAATGTCGTAGGCAGTAGTAGTTACTTCATAGTTGGGATCAATTATAAACCTGAAATGACCTTGTACACAGCAGAAATTATCTTTTACAAATGAATATTTTGTTCTGAGGTTCCCCCATAACACGACGTTGAAGCATTAGTTTTATCATTTCTGAAGAGTTGATTCTTTAAGTGTGCCTAATAGATGTACACACACACACACACACACACACACACTGAACTTAGCTTTTAATAATACTTAACTATAATGTGGCAATGAAATTTGACTCCATTTTGAGGAATAATGGTGGCCCCATTGCACATACACAATTTGCGTGAGTCTACACTCAACCACTGCTTGGCACCATAACTGGTGTGGAAAGTCCTTCTGTATATGTGCTGCTTTTATTGGTTAATAAATAAAGAAACTGCTTTTGGCCAATGGCTTAACAGAATAGAGCCTGGCTGGAAAAGAAATAGAGAGAGAGGAGTCATGAAGAAGCCATGTAGCTGCCGCAGGGGACAGACACGCCGGAAACTTGCCAGTAAGTCACAGCCATGGCAATACACAGTTTAATATAAATGGGTTAGCCAAAGATATAAGAACTGGATAGCAATATGCTTAAGCTATTGGCCAAACAGAATTGCAGATATTACAGTTTCTGAGGAATTATTTCAGGCCTAAGCGGCTGGGAACGAACAAGCAGCCTCCCTACTACACATAACCACATCCTTTGCAAGAGCTGTGTTTCCATACCTCAGGTACTGGCTGCAAAGTAGAATGCACTGAAGTATTTTCAGGTTCTAAGGTGACCAATCCCTATAGTGAAGCTATCTAAACAACCCAGTTATGCCCAATCTACCTGAGCCATCATAATAACCTTCATCACAAACTATTTGAAATCAAAGGGAATTTTATTTTTTCTTGTAACAGTGAAAAATAATTAAGGATAATATACAGAAATGGCTCCCTTTCTGATCACTTTTATTTCTAATAGTCACTAAAAACAAGGTGCAGTGTGATAAGCATCCATCAACACAGACTAGAAAAATAAAACGAAATGTCAAGCCTCCATCAAACAGCTGCAACTGTCTGACAGCTCACAATTTTTTTCTTTGTAAGTAAAAATAATATGAACAACCTCTTTTGGTTACCATGAGAACGCGAGGACAAATAAGCAAACGAGTTTCCTAGATGGGAAAAAGTACACAGCCATCTGTTTGAAACTCTAGCCAACAAATTCCAAGCATATGTAAGGCCTGATCCCAAAGAAGCCAAGACCCAAAGATACAAATGCAAAAACAAAAGCGTTGTTATTAATTAATTCCGAGAGTGTTCAAGCTTGGGGATGGCGTGGTAAGAAATTACAGTGGGGGATCTTTGTGCTTTGCTTCTGCTGATTACAGAAACTGTGTTTTATGACTGAAGCCACCGTGAGGTTTCACGTTTTATACAACAGTAAGGACTCCCATTACATCGGAGTTTTGTAAATCCTTTTATTTTCTGTGTTTGCTGATATATGCATATATGTGGATTGTGTGAGTGGCTGTATTTGCCTACTACATATATGTGTGTGCATATGTAGAGGTCTATGTCAAGCGTCTTCCTCAGTTGTCCTCCAAGCACTGCCATCACAAATATGCACGGCCACACCCAGTCGCTGTGGGGACACTGGGGATCTAAACTCAGGTGTTCATGCTGACAGCAAGGACTTCAATCACTGAAGCATCTCCTCGGTCCCTCATAGTTCTGTAAATATTGAAAAGTTTGATTCAAATGCCTGCATAAATTCACATTGAACATCCACACTTCTCTCAAACCTCCTTCTCTGAGGCTTGTCAATTCCCGATAGGAACAAATAACCAGACAGGACATGTGTCAGAAGATATCTGGGACCAAACACAGATGCTAGTTCTGTTTGTCAAGAAGCTGATATGGGTCAAGAATGAGGTTGTTTTTTTTTAAAAAAAAAAAAAAAAAGAAAAAAAAAGAAGCGTGTAATTTTTTCAAAAGAACAAAGACAGTATCGGTATCTTTGGAATTCAAAAACATAAAATTAAAAAAAAAACAAGAAAGAATAGACAAAATGTCAGATCCCTTTAGACCAACTGAGCAGGGCATATCATTCCACTTGAGAAAGGCAGGCTCTGATAGAGGGAACTGTCGCTTTGTAGGCAGGTGGCCTGAAGGTTTTATCTGATAGATGACCTTGTGAGATTGCTGTGCCTCTGTTTGTACTCAGTGAGGTGAGGCCTGAGAGACTGCAGAGCCACTGGATCGCCTTTCTCTCAGCTCTGGGCTCCTCCAGAGGATCATTCGCAAGTAACAATTAAGAGCATGCATTCAGATTTTGTCTCTGCTAAATTGCACAATAACAAGCAGCCTATTTATTATCCCAACGCTTCACTCCTCATAACTCAAACAAGAATAATGGCATCTTTCTTGTGGTATTCTTGAAAGGAGTTAACATACTAAAGTCCTAAGAGTGCTGACATGTAGTGAGTGTCAGCCAAGGTCACACACTGTCATCACAGTTCTGAAGACGGAGCTCTGATTGGTTCCATTTGGTCAGTATCCATAGAGAGCTATGGCTTGCCTGACTAGACTCGGACACTGTCTAAGACAGTGGAGAAGAACTGAGAATAGCAAAAGTTACAGCAGAGAATATACAAAAGTAAAATAAAGTAGTGAGGTAGAGAAGAACAAGAAATTAAAGTAAATAAAAAAGAAATACAGAGTTGACGCGATAGGTTGGTAAGTATTGCACTTGGTACACAAGTATCAGGACCCAAGCTTGATTATCAGAAC